GCACTTGTGAGAGAAATTTGAGATCTCAAAAGGCGTACACTGCAGCCTCTGGTGGATTCACAAAAACTGCAAAAAATAGTAGCGCCTTGCATGTATTTGTTACTCTCCAGAAATGTATACAGGTGTACGTAATCAGAATGGTCCTGAATGTCCTTTATTTGTATTGTTTGGTAAGAAATTGTATAATAAATCTCCATGTATATATGAATAAATGCTGAATAAACATCTGACCCCTGATAAATAAGAGACTAAGGTAAAGGAAAATGAATGAATGAATAAACATCTGAAATAAACAAACGTCTGACCCCTGATAAATAAGAGACTAAGGTAAAGGAAAATGAATGAATGAATAAACATCTGCGAAATTAATAAATGTCTGACCCCTGATAAATTAGAGACTAAGGTAAAGGAAAATGAATGAATGAATGAATGAATGAATAAACATCTGCTTAATGACTAAATGAATAAACATCTGACCCCTGATTAATAAGAGACTAAGGTAAAGGAAAATGAATGAATGAATGAATAAACATCTGTGAAATAAACATCTGACCCCTGATAAATAAGAGACTAAGGTAAAGGAAAATGAGTAAATGAATGAATAAACGTCTGTGAAATAAACAAACATCTGACCCCTGATAAATAAGAGACTAAAGTAAAGGAAAATGAATGAATAAATGAATAAACATCTGACCCCTGATAAATAAGAGACTAAGCTAAAGATAAATGAATGTATGAATAAACATCTGCTAAATGGCTAAATAAATAAACATCTAATCCCTGATAAATAAGAGACTAAGGTAAAGGAAAATGAATAAATGAATGAATAAATGAACATCTGTGAAATGAACAAACATCTGACCCCTGATAAATAAGAGTCTAAGCTAAAGAAAAATGAATGAATGAATTAATAAATATCTGTGAAATAAACAAACGTCTGACCCCTGATAAATAAGAGTCTAAGCTAAAGGAAAATGAATGAATGAATAAATGAACATCTGTGAAATGAACAAACATCTGACCCTTGATAAATAAGAGTCTAAGCTAAAGGAAAATGAATGAATGAATGAATGAATGAATTAATGAATTAATGAATGAATAAACATCTGAAATAAACAAACGTCTGACCCCTCATAAATAAGAGACTAAGGTAAAGAAAAATGAATGTATGAATAAACATCTGCTAAATGACTATGATGAATGAATGAATGAATGAATGAATAAGCATCTGTGAAATAAACAAACGTCTGACCCCTGATAAATAAGAGTCTAAGCTAAAGGAAAATGAATGAATGAATGAATGAATGAATAAACATCTGAAATAAACAAACGTCTGACCCCTGATAAATAAGAGTCTAAGCTAAAGGAAAATGAATGTATGAATAAACATCTGTTAAATAACTATGACAAATGAATGAATAAATGAATAAGCATCTGTGAAATGAATAAACGACTGACCCCTGATAAATAAGAGACTAAGGTAAAGAAAAATTAATAAATGAATAAACATCTGATAAACGACTAAACATCTGACCCCTGATAAATAAGAGTCTAAGCTAAAGGAAAATGAATGAATGAATGAATAAATGAACATCTGTGAAATAAACAAACGTCTGACCCCTGATAAATAAGAGTCTAAGCTAAAGGAAAATGAATGAATGAATGAATGAACATCTACTAATAGTAAATGTTATTCCCCTTCTAGATTGTTACTTATTTTTTTAATCAGAAAAAGTGCATCTACAGTAGACTCGACTGCGCTGTGTTTATTTGACACAAACAATAAGACTGTGGGTCCCGAGCGGCTCCGTCTTGCTGTGAAAACAGCCGTAATCATAACAGGAGGGTTTCTGTAAAGAGCAGTGAAACGCAGACCCCGCTGAGATTACATGAAGCCCAGAGAATGTCAGGAAGAGGCTGCTGGAGCTTCTGGGCGTCTCTGCTCCAGCGCATTGTGAATGTGCTGCTTACAAAAACAGCTTTGAAGTTAGAAAAATAAATCCCAATGTCTGATCCGCCGCAGGTGCCTCGGAAGTGCTGCTTTTGTGTGCTGTTTTAGGCTGCATTTACAGTAGCTGTGCATTTTTGTAGGGCTGTAACGAGACACTTAAGTCACCATTCGATAAATACATCACAATCATTCATTCATTTTCCTTTGCTTTCATTCATTTTCCTTTCACCAGGGGTCGCCACAGCAGAATGAACCACCAACTAGAGATCTGCACGGGACTAAATTTGAAACGAAAAAATTAAGTTATGTAGGAATCGACACTGTAGGACTTATTTGTATGTTGTTTGTCTTATTTTCTTAGCATCTATATCAGAAATCTATTTAAAACTACTATTATTTGTGAAAACAAATTTGAGAAAGCATCAATGTGACGCCGCATTTTTTGAAGACATCATGTAGACTTCGTACAAAGTATTTTACGGTATTTTAAAAATACAAAATACAAGACAGGCGAAGCAGTGGCGCAGTAGGTAGTGCTGTCGCCTCACAGCAAGAAGGTCGCTGGTTCGAGCCTCGGCTCAGTTGGCGTTTCTGTGTGGAGTTTGCATGTTCTCCCTGCCTTCGCGTGGGTTCTTCCGTGTGCTCTGGGTTCCCCCACAGTCCAAAGACATGCGGTACAGGTGAATTGGGTAGGCTAAACTGTCCGTAGTGTATGAGTGTGTGTGTGGATGTTTCCCAAAGATGTGTTGCGGCTGGAAGGGCATCCACTGCGTAAAAAACTTGCTGGATAAGTTGGCGGTTCATTCCGCTGTGGCAACCCCAGATTAATAAAGGGACTAAAGGCTGATTTATACTTCTGTGTCAAACGCATGCTACGGCGCTGACGCATAGCCCTTCGCCGTGGCCGTCGGCGTCGCTGACGTGCAGCTCTCAAAAATTGTAACTACACGTCGCAACGACGCGTAGCGCAAGCTCTGTGATTGGTCGGCTTGGTAGCGCTGACAAGTCTGGGCGGGACCGAGAGCCGCACAAATGGCGCGAGCACAATGGAGTGATTGTTTTCAAGTGTGGAGTCCCGTGAAGGAGCTCTGGATGGAAAGTTTTGTTTTGTGTTTACCTCAAAGTTGTTGCACGTCCGCCGGTTCCTGCCTCTAAATGAGCGAGTTTGAGCCACTTGTACATCCAGGAAGTGTTCAGGAAAAGCAAAACAGCAGAGAAGAAACTCAACACAGAGGAACATTAACACCTCACTGCCAACTAGCGTTTGGAAGTGTTAATTCAGACCAACAGAGACAGCGCGCAAAAGTATAAATGCACAGCTACGCGCGTTGCATGCGCCGTGGGTCACGCCGGTCACTTGACGCAGAAGTATAAACCAGGCTTAAGCCGACAAGAAAATGAATGAATGAATGAATACAAGACACAAAAGAGTTTTAATACAAAATATTAAGCCATTTTCATAAACCCAGTCAAATACAAATTACAAACTACTATTATGTATTTAAAATATGTATTTGAAATACTTGTATCATAAATACTGCCCAACACCGTGCACTAGTAGCCTTTCATAACAATATTTCCCAGTGTGCTTCGCATCATGGTGTCAAGTGAAAGTCGTGAAGATGTGTTTCAGCTCTTTGGGCAATATGGGGAAGGTTTGTTCAGCTCTGTTCACGTCTGTTATCTGATGTCTGGCTCCAGAACTCTGTACGTGTGGATCCAGCGATTGGCCTATATTGCGTGATTCATACAATTCCTGTTTTCAGCATCAAAGAGTTTCCTCGGCCCTCTGGAAATGCTCCAAATGACAACGTGCTGAGAGAAGACAAGAAATAAAACATGACTACGTTCCAGAAACATTCAGAGCAAATTGCAAAACAGTGCAAACTAAAGGAGAAACGGCACAGGAATCGTAAATCATCGCAATACTGCTTAAAAGTGTTGAGTTTTATCAGGGTGGTTTGATTTAAAAACGTATTTCGTTTTTAGAAACGTACCCATATACATAGTTTTAATTAGTTGTTTATGTTATGTTATGTTAATATATTTATTTGTATTGTTTAAAAAATAAGTATTGCTTTAATTCAGTAAAAAAAAAGTTTGCTGGTACACAACATTCGATTATTTACCTTAATTAATTAATTAATTAATTAGGACATTAATTAAATATGAATTAATTAATAATTTAACTTAATTATAATTTGCAATAAATATTGTAATTATTGTAAAAAAAAATAATTGTGATAATTTATATTTGAATATAAAATGTGTGTAAAGGGCAACACAGTGGCACAGTAGGTAGTGCTGTCGCCTCACAGCAAGAAGGTTGCTGGTTCGAGCCTCAGCTGGGTTATGCAATAATGCATAATTAGTTATAATCACTATAGTACATGGAACGAGTAACAACCTTACATAAAGTGTTACCTGTTTTACTTTTACACCTATTTTATTTCGATTAAAAAGCAGACTTTGCCATTGGGAGTTCTTGATTTCTGTGGAAATTTAATATACAAAGTATTTTTTTTAGCAAGTAAAAATTTCCTAACTTCAAAGCACAATTAAAATAATTTTAATTTTATTTTTATTTTATTTTATTTAGTTTTATTTTGGTTTATATTTTAATAAAATTTTATTGTATTGTATTTGTTTTTATTTAATTTCATATTTTAATTCAAATTTATTTTAAATTTAATTTTATATTTTTATTTTTAATTTATTTTATTTTATATTTGAATTAAATTTTTATATTTTATTAATTTTTTTTATTTTGTTTTATATTTTAATTTAATTGTATTTTGTTATTTAATTTGATTTCAACTTATTTTTTTTTTATTTAATTTTATATTTAAATTTAAGTTGATTTTAATTTAAATTTGTTTTATATTTTAATTACATTTTCTTTAATTGTTTTTTTTATTTTGTTTAAATTATATTATTATTTACATTTTTATTTTATAAACTGATTCAGAGGCACTAACAGAGAACCCGAGAACACTGCATGTCAGGTTTTGTAGCTTTATTTTTGACCTTTTTGTTTCTTTTCCTGCAGATTTTGGATGAGATCAGTGAGCACGGGATCCGGATCTACCAGCTTCCCGACGCTGATTCAGACGAGGATGAAGAATTCAAGGAACAGACGCGTGTGCTGAAGGTCAGAGGTCAAAGTGTTTAACAGCTTTATCAGTGCAGGAGTTCTAGTTTGGCTGAAGTTGTGTGTGTGTGTGTGTGTGTGTGTGTGTGTGTGTGTGTGTGTGTGTGTGTGTGTGTGTGTGTGTGTGGGTGTGGGTGTGGGTGTGTGTGTGTGTGTGTGTGTGTGTGTGTGTGTGTACATGTGTGTATGTATATTTATAACTATATCTATATCTACATATGTGTGCGTGTGGGTGTGTGTTTCAGGCCAGTATCCCGTTTGCTGTGATCGGCTCAAACCAGCTGATTGAGGTGAAGGGGAAGAAGATTCGTGGGCGGCTGTACCCGTGGGGTGTGGTGGAGGTGGAGAATCCCGAACACAACGACTTCCTCAAACTGCGCACTATGCTCGTGTGAGTGTATTAGAAAATTATAATAATATTAATCAAGGTAAAAAAAAAAGGTAAAACTGTTTACATGAGCATCTCCACCCTTCAATTAAAACTCTTGTACCTTAAAGACTTCTAGTTTTAAATAAACAAAGCCAAAGACATTTTTTTTCAGTTAATTTTGAGATTTTTGGCTAGTTAAAATACACTAAATACACTTTACTCTTTTATGTTTCTATTTATTTTAACAGAAATGTCAATTTCAGCAGCAATTGTTATATTGTGAAGGTGTTTATTGAGGGATGTGTTCCCATATTTAATGTGGCTTACTGTACACAATATTTTATTCTTCAAATAAATTTTAAATGGTGATTTTTAGCTGTTCAAAGCATTTAATAATTGTAGGTTAGGAATAAGAGGAGATTCCCCACAAAACCCCCCTAAACCTGTTTGATTGTAATATGTATCATGTGTTAAAAAAAGAAACAATCATTTTAAATTGATGAAATATTCAGCTTAAGCATGTCATGATTTATTTATTTCTGAAATAATATATATTTTAAATATTCAGACTGTTCGTTATTTTTTTTGTACTTGATTATCATCATTTCTTTAGGCAAAAATGGACTTTGTAGTTTATTTTCTGTGGTTTAGAGTGAAATGGATCTAACACATAATTCGGGTCTCCATAGTGTTGATTTCTCCATTTGTTGTGTAGCGCCCTCTGCTGATCAAAATCCATTAAGGTTTGTCTGTGTACCTGGTATTCATTACTTTGTGGGGACCAAAAAGTCTAGCAATACCAGTAGATTTTGAGCCTGTGGGGAGTTTTTTTTTTTTTTTTTTTTTTTTTTTTTTTTTTTTTTTGGGTCCCTATGAGAGAAACAACTCATTAATCATCCAGAATAAGGTGTCTTGTTTAGGTTTGTGTTTAGAATTTGGGAAAGAGAACAAAATATACTGACTATAGTCTAAAAAGAATTGGAAATTCCACTAAAATATAAGTACCTAATGTGTGTGTGTGTGTGTGTGTGTGTGTGTGTTTATGTGCATGTGTTATCGCGTATGTGTTTTCATGTGCGTGTCTGATTGCTTGTGTGTATGTGTTTGTTTGTGTCTATGTGTGTGTGTTTGCATGTGTGATTGTGTATGTGATTGCGCATATGTTTGCGTGTGTGTTTTTGTATGTGCATGTGTGTTTGCATGCATGTCTGTTTGCGTATGTGCGTGTTTGTGTGCGTGCCTGCATATTTGCATGTGTATGTGCGCATTTGTCTGTGTCTGTGTCTGTGTGTGTGTGTGTGTGTGTGTGTGTGTGTGTGTGTCTGTCTGTCTGTCTGTCTGTGTGTGTGTGTGTGTGTGTGTGTGTGTGTGCGCGCTTGTGTGTGTGTGTTTGTGTAGGACCCACATGCAGGACCTGCAGGAGGTCACTCAGGATCTCCATTATGAGAATTTCCGTTCAGAGAGGCTAAAGCGAGCCGGCAGGTAAAAACATCTAACACACCATCCCAGATGATCGTCCTGCTGACCAGCTGATCTGCACTGGGGTCTGATGGTGAATCTGTGCTGAAACTGTGTGTGTGGTTCTGCAGGGCGGCTGATGTGGAAGATGTGATGGACAAAGACCAGATCCTGCTGGAGAAAGAAGCTGAGGTCAGTCATGATAATATAGTAATATCTGATTGATTGCTATATTTTAATACACATAATAACTCTCTGCACTTTCATTGAAAAGGTTTGGCTCAATATTTTTTTAATCGTGCTAAAATAAGTCTGATCACCAAAGCTGCATTCACTTTATGAATATAAAATAAAGAAGCTGTAATATTGTAAAATACACTCACCGGCCACTTTATTAGGTACACATGTCCAACTGCTTGTTAACACAAATTTCTAATCAGCCAATCACATGGCAGCAACTCAATGGATTTAGGCAAGTAGACATGGTCATTATGATCTGCTGCAGTTCACACCGAGCATCAGAATGGGGGAGAAAGGTGATTTAAGGGACGTGGCATATCTGTTGGTGCCAATCGGCCTGATCTGATTATTTCAGAAACTGCTGATTTACTGGGATTTGCACGCACAACCATCTCTAGGGTTTACAGAGAATGGTCAGAAAAAGAGAAAATATCCAGTGAGTGGCAGCTCTGTGGTCACAAATGCCTTGTTGATGTCAGAGGTCAGAGGAGAATGGCCAGACTGGTTCCAGCTGATAGAAAGACAACAGTAACTTAAATAAGCACTTGTGATAACAGAGGTCTGCAGAAGAGCATCTCTGATTGCACAACACCTCTTTGAGGTGGATGGGCTACAGCAGCAGAAGACCACACCAGGTGCCACTCCTGTCAGCTAAGAACAGGAAACAGGCTACAGTTCGCACAGGCTCACCAAAATAGGACAATAGAAGATTGGAGAAACGTTGCCTGGTCTGATGAGCCTTGATTTCTGCTGTGATGTCCAGATGGTTGGTGCAGAATTTGGTGTCAACAACATGAAAGCATGGATCCATCCTGCCTTGGTGGTAGTGTAAAGGTGTGGGGGATATTTTCTTGGCACACTTTGGGCCCATAAGTACCAACTGAGCATTGTGTCAACCCCACAGCCTACCTGAGTATTGTTGCTGACCATGTCCATCACTTTATGACCACAGTGACCATCTTCTGATGGCTACTTCCAGCAGGATAACACACCATATCATAAAGCGTGAATCATGTCAGACTGGTTTACTGAACATGACAATGAGTTCACTGTACTCAAATGGCCTCCACAGTCACCAGATCTCAATCTAATAGAGCACCTTTGGGATGTGGTGAAATGGGAGATTAGTATCATTTATGTGCCGCTGACAAATTCACAGCAACTGAATATTTCCACGGATTAAGGCAGTTCTGAAGGCAAAAGGGGTCCAACCCGGTATCAGTAAGGCGTACCTAATAAAGTGGCCGGTGAGTGTATATTCACAATTTTTAGCAAAAGTTTTCTATTTTTAATGTCTTTTAATATGTATTTTTGGGAGCCCATGTTAAATATTCAGCATCATTAGCATAACATGATCCATTCTGATATGCTAATTTGCTGCTCCACAAGTTATCATATGTTTATTAAAAGAATTAGCTTTATTAATTTATTAAATATGATTATTAAATGGCTATTATTGTCCTACTGACCCCAAGCATTTGTAAGCAGTATTTGAGGTTTTGTTTACAGTCTATGGTAATTAATTGTAGGAGAACGCAATCAGAGCCGTCTGTAAACATACATGTCTGCACAGGAAATTACATCAACTTCCTGCAGCACAGAACGTACAGAAATGCATGCAATGTACAAAGATCGTGCATTTGAGTGTTTTTATGCACCTGTTTAACATAGTAAATGTCCCAAGAGAAAAATCCTTTCCAAAAAAGCTGATTAAAAAACAGGCTTAGTAATATTTAATAAGTAAGAGAGAAGTTTATAGTATTTATAGAAATAATACAATAAAAGAAAAGAGTTTTATTGTCGTCATCATTAGTCGTGTGTTTAGAGGAGCAGTTTTGTACAGTATGTTCTCTAATTGTCATGATTGTTGTCATTAGAGACTGTAATTGTGTTTATGTTTACATATCACGTTCATAAGAGTGAGTTTTTTTCTCATCAGTCCTGTTGCAAGGTCTTTTCCAGTATCAATAACATTTAAATTAGCCTCAGACAATTTCTGATGTTTGTGAGTAACAATAACATGGAAATATGCTGATTTTTTTTATACACAAATATATGTTTGTTGTAATATTGACACATTTTTTTAGTTAATTTTGAGATTTTTGGCTAGTTAAAATACACTAAATACACTTTACTCTTTTATTTTTCTATTTATTTTAACAGAAATGTCCATTTCAGCAGCAATAGTTATATTGTGAAGGTGTTTATTGAGGGATGTGTTCACATATTTAATGTGGCTTACTGTACACAATATTTTACTCTTCAAATAAATTTTAAATGGTGATTTTTAGCTGTTCAAAGCATTTAACAATTGTAGGTTAGGAATAAGAGGAGATTCCCCACAAAACCCCCTAAACCTGTTTGATTGTAATATGTATCATGTGTTAAAAAAAGAAACAATGATTTTAAATTAGCCTGTTTGTGAGTAACAATAACGTGGAAATATACTGATTTTTTTTTATACACAAATATATGTTTGTTGTAATATTAAAGAAAATGATACAAGAGTTCACTAAATGGAAAGCACTCACACTTTCTCTTGCAGGCAGAATAAATACACACAAAAAATGAATATTCTTCCTAAATTTATTAAGTATTTCAATTTTCATTTTTAATTCATTCATTTTCTTTTCCGCTTAGTCCCTTTATAAATCAGGGGTCCATATATGCAAAGAAACAAATCTAATTTATTTATTAGTTATGCATAATAAAATGAAATGACGCAGGGAAAAAGTGTAGAGAGGTGTAGAAAGGCAGTGAAAGCCCAGACAGCAGCTGAAATCTCTCAGTAGTTCTTCAGCAACTCTCTGCCCTTCCTCAGTTTAAATGAATATCAGCTGCTTCAGCTGACATTTCAGCAAGATAATGGTCCAAAACACAGCCAAGGAAACTCTCATATGCTTTCAGAGAAAGAAAATCAAGTTGTAGAATGGCTTAGCCAATCACCTGATCCGAATCCAATAGAAAATTCAAAATAAAGCTCCGATTTGATAGACAAGACCCACAGAACTGTCAAAATTTCTCCATATGAGAGGCGTCTTTAAGCAGCCAGCACCAAAAAAGGTCTTTATTTAAAGTGTTATATACATTTCAGTAGTTCAGTGCTTTCTACTTGTGCCATTCCATTGTTAATATATAAAACTCATTTTTCAGATTTGTTTGTTTTGTTTTATTGTTATGTTTGTTTTGTTTGGGCTTTTACCAAAATCTGGTTCAATTCCATGTCAACAGCTCCTTTAAAAATGTTATTTCCAGGAAAAAGCATGATGTGTTTAATACTTATTTTACCTGCTGTACAAAAGGATCATGTGACACTTGAGACTAGAATAGTGATGCTAAAAAATGAGTTTGCATTACAGTAATAAACTCCATTTCACAGTATATGAACATTTCACAGTATAAAACACTATTTGAAATGATAATACAGGATGTCCGCGGAGTCTTAAAAAGTGTTTAAAATTGATCAATCAGTTTAGAGAAATTTAAGGCCCTTTAAAAGTATTAAAAATACTTAAATGATATTTTACAAGGTATTCAGTTCGGTATCAGTATGCTAATGTTTACCTGAATTTAATCTTTGAATATTGGGATGCTGTGTAGTTTATGAAATAAATAAATAATCCTGCTAGATTTGACATCACGGTGCTTTGTTTACTGCACTAAACAGGGAAACACTGTTATTCCTGCTGTTGTAAAGGCGCCACCTACTGGATTGACATTTTATTCAGTATATAAATACAGTTTTAGTTTAGGATTTGTTTCTTGCAATAAGTATTTAGTAAGTATACTGCAAGTTAAAATGTCGGCAATGTTACATGTTAAAACCTGAAGTGGTAATGAGGTCTTAAGGTATTCAATCTCTGATTCCTGTATATAATAATAATAGTATATACCAGGGGTGCCCAATTTCGGTCCTAGAGGGCCAGTGTCCTGCATATTTTAGTTCCAACCTCCATTAAACACACCTGAACCTGCTAATCAAGCTCTTTCTAGGTATACTAGAAACTTCCAGGCAGGTGTGTTGAAGGAAGTTGGAGCTTAACCATGCGGGACACCGGCCCTCTAGGACCGAGTTTGGACACCCCTGGTATATGCTAATGTAATAAACTAATGTAGTAATGTATAGTATTTTTGAAGCCATAAACACAGCCTCTGTGAGCTATACATCATCCTTTATGATTAACATTTGTAAAATCATCGCTATGTGCTTTTTTTCCCCCTGTTATGCAGCTGAGACGCATGCAGCAGATGATCGCTCAAATGCAGGCTCAGATGAAAATGAAACCCGGAGACGACTAAGAGTGTGTGTGTGTTTCTCTGTCGTCTATACGCGAACAGGAAGTGTCATCTGACCGGAGGGTACATTTATCCTGCCCGTTTCTAAACACTATTTACTTGTCATATCAGATTGATGGAACATAATAGTAAACGTTGACCAAGTAGAATCCCTCACTATCGCAAACACATGCTCCATTGTTTAATCAAGCCTGTCCAATTTAGACTCTATCTATTAATAATTTATATCATGGTTCCATTGACAATATTCAGCATCTGTTCATCTGTGCATTGATCAGGGTTTGTGATGTCAGTGCCAAATACTCTTTTAAAGCTGCTTGGCTTGTTCAAGTCATGTATTTTGTATGTGTGTTTATCTATATATATATATATATATATATATATATATATATATATATATATATATATATATATATATATATATATATATATATATATATATATATATATATATATATATATATATATATATATATATATATATATATATATATATATATATATATATATATATATATATATATATATATATATATATATATATATATATATATATATATATATATATATATATATATATATATATATATATATATATATATATATATATATATATATATATATATATATATATATATATATATATATATATATATATATATATATATATATATATATATATATATATATATATATATATATATATATATATATATATATATATA